CCAAATCCATCAGCTGCCTAATTACCATTTATTTTGCATTTATTTCTGCTAATTAAAAAGAGAGAAACTCCTAACAACTTTTACGTAAATACTATATTTGTTCTATGTAAAGATGGGCTGCTAATTTGCTGGTGATTAGCAGATTATCTAATTTTGTAGCTGTCACACAGGATGGCCCTCTCTCCCCTTGGCACCCCAGAAGTCACTTGAGGCCCCCAATCAGGTGTAGGAGGGATGGGTCAAGGGACATCTCCATAGGTGATGGGAAGGGGCCCAGAGGTCACCAGGAGCACCGCGTATCACCACAGTTCAGAGAGGCTGAGAGGAACTTTTGGCTCATTCATTGTTTCTGTACAAATGAAGACATTGAGGCCCAGGGAGGTCTAGCGTCCCCCAGTAAAGAGACAGACCCCTGCCCCACGTGTTTGGACTCATCTGGCTGTATCATGCTCATGTCAGGAGGAATTTGCAAGGTGATGGCTTTATCTGCAGCCGAGAAATATCTGGACCAAACTCCAGCCCCAACAGAGAGAAGATGTAGTCTGGTCTGAGCTGATTGCCAAACCAAACGTTCTGTGTACCCTTCTGGAAACTTACACCTCCTCCCACTTCCCCGTCCAGCACAGGGCTCTGCTCCCACAGCCCCCTGAGCCCACCTCCAGAGGCTTGACCCCCAAGTCTTGGCCAGCTTCCCCAGGTCCTGCCTGTACACAGCATCGGGCCTCAAGCTCTGTGTGAGTGTCTGAATTTCAGATCTTAATGTTATGTATTTATCTTTATGGGAATTAGAAAAAATATAATTAATATAGCAAACCCATGATTTCACACAGTATTGCTTTGAATGAGGGTATGTAAAAAGAAAGTGATTTCAATAACAATACATAAATAATTTAGATGGAACACGGATGTGGCTTAAAGTATCTAGTAACTGAAGTTGGGGACATGCTCAGGGAGGGTCTGAGAACACCAGGTCAGGAGGCCGGGTGGGTGAGGCCAGGGTCGGCGGCGGCGGGGACCTGAGGTCAGGGTTGGCCAGTCCTGGCCTGCAGGCCACCACTGCCCCATCCCACACCCAGGCTAACAGCGTCCCTGGATCACGCTCCTCTCACTGCTGTCCTTAGGAATTCACCCACCACAGAGGAATCGTTTGCCCCCAGAAGCAGTCTAAAAGGACTCTGTTTCAGGGAGGGGGGAAGTCAGACTCTGCTCCATCCCGCACAGAGTGACCAGCCTGAACTTCTGCTTTCTTTCTTCCTGGACAGTCTGAAAATGGCCCGTTCTCGATATAAAGGCGGAATGCCTGACGAGGCGCGGTGTCCTGTGAGTGGCCAGAGAGGTCAGGACCATGGTTGGCCCAGCCCGTTGGAAATCTCAGAGACCAGGGACCCAGTCCTGGCCGCTGCTCTCTGGAGCCTCAGTCTCACCCTCTGTAAAACGGGGGATGGTGGTGTTTTCCTCCCAGGGCTGCTGAAAGTGTTCTGGGGGCCACGTGCCAAGCGTCCCTCAGAGAAGCGCTCTGCACAGCCAGGGGTGAGCCCGGTCACCCACCCGGGGGCCCCCCTTAGCCACCCGCCGCCGCCACAGTGTCTCTGGGAGGTGACCGCCGTCAGAGATCTCCTGCTCATCTGCCCTTTTATCACCCTGCACACAATCAGGGGAAGCCGGGAAGGCTGGGGGGCGCGGGCAGATGGAAAACAGAGAGAAAACAAAGGGCCTGCTCCAAGGAGGCCAAAAGGCAGGGTTGTGTCCTCCCTCCGCTGCAGCCTGGCCAGCCTGTCCCACCAGCACCGGGCCTTGACCACCCCTGGGGCTGCTGGCGACCTGCCCCACCCCTGCAGAGACCGGCCTTAGGCCTCACATGGGGTCACCGCTCCCCGGGTGGCCCTGGGGAAGCCATGTTTCTCATGTCCGTAAAATGCGGGAGCTGGACAGCATGCTGCGTGACCTTGGGCAAACCCCACTCCTCACCCCTGACTGGGGGGTCTCTTTGGGTGGGCCCAACCCATCTCCAGGACACCTCCTCTCCCCAGCCCCAGGAAGTCAATGGGGTGCCCACTTCTGCCCGTAGAGAGGACCCCAGCGTGCCCTGAGCAGAGCGAGGAAGTCGGGGGCCTCTGTTTACCGTCAAGATGTTGGCACTGGTGCGTAAGGATTTGTGCGGAATGAACGAGTGGTTTAATCAGAGGGGACTTCACGCAGCATCCACCCTTGGTCACCGCCGCTGTCCGAGCCTCTGAGTCAGAGAAAAGTCCAGAGCAGGACCCGAGTGCAGCGATTGAGGGCTCATACCTGCACCCACGCCAGGCCGTCGGGGTTCACATCCTACCTGTGTGACCTCGGGCTGGTTTCTGAACCTTGCTGTGGCTGTTAAAAATAGGTAGAGTCCCTACCTTAGAGGTTGTGGTGAGATTAAATGAGTTAATTCACAGAGTACTTAGAATGGTACCAGATAAAGAAGGTCCGTTAATGTTCAGTATGAAGATCATTGGCAGTTCCATCACTGTTATTGATCAGAGGCAGACTCACCGGGAACCCATGAAGCTCCAGCTTCTGGGCCCCACCCCGCACCGCCCTGGTGGAAGTGGGAGTTTTGCGGGCAGCTGTTGAGTGTTCTAGGTGGGGCGGGGCAGCAGGTTGCTGTCGGGAACATTTCTGTGTGAGCATCTCTGGTAAATGGTTTAGAGGGGCCCGGACTCCTGAGGCTCTAGGAATGTGGTGGTGTTTCTTTTCTCATTTTAAATATGTATTTGTAGTTCTATATATATTTCTAAAGAGGACCCCAAAATAGTATACGCTTCAGGCCCTGCGAGCCTGGACCGCCCCCTGCTTATTCCTGTTGCCTTTACTACATTTCTGAGCCCCAGCCCTGTGCAGCCCACCTTGTGGCCCCAGCAGGAAGATGGCCCAAGCCTCGCGGCTGGAGGCCCACCTTCTCACCCTGTAGGCTCAGCCCTGAGCACCCCAGACTGGGAGCCACACTGCATGTGCCAGGTTGAGGGAGCCCTAAGGAGAGCAAGCACGGAGAATGGGACCCTCGAGGAGCCCCTGGATGTGCAGGGCACAGAGCCCTGTGCCTGTGGGCCAAGTGCCCCGGCCCCTCTCCTCCCCCACCCCTTCTTCTGCGCTGTGTGGGCCCCAGTGGGCAGGCACAAGGGGCGGTTGGGGTCGTGGGAAGCAGGTTGCTGAGTTGGAACAGTTGCCCCTGAGGATGTCACCAGGGTGGCTGGCTGTGTGCCAAGTCCCGGGTCTTGTGCTGGGTAGAGGCCCAGTGTGGTCCCTGCCCTCTGAGAGCTCTCAAGGTAGCTGAACCACAAGACTCACACCTGGAAGGGCAAAGAGTGGGCACGGGAAGGTGGGATTAGACCCTGTCGCATCAGGCATTGTCGAGACAGCAGTCGAGAGAGCCCAGAGGTCATGAGGGCTAGACACTTGTGGAGGGCCTCCTGGAGGATGGGGCCCTCACCTGGGGAGGCCCCTGGAGGAGTGGGCACTGTGGACCCTAGCCCCTCCACCAGAGCGGGGCCTCTCGGCCTGGGCTCTGACAGGGACATTTATAACTCACAGCTGTGCGGTCCTGGGCCCAACTGACTGTGGTAAACCGATCAGGCTTCAGGAAGTCAGTCCCGAGGCCACTCCCCCCTCCGACCCCACACTCTCCTTCACCTCCTGACACCCACATCCTGTTCTCAGCGGGAGGGGCAGGCACCGGGGCACTGGGCTGGGGGCCCAGTCAGGGTCTCCAACCTGCAGGCAGAGTGGGGAAGGACAGAGGGGCTCAGTGAGGTCCAAGAACCACAAGGCAAGGCCTCTGGGGTCATCAGGCTCTACCCCTCAAGGCACACCTGGGGACACCCAGGCCCAGAATGGGCACCTGCAGCCACAGGAGCTGGGGGGGAGGGGGAGGGGAAGGGTCCATTCTGTGCTGTCCAATCTAACCAGAGAGGGGATTATGCTCTAGCCCCTACCGACTCTGGCCTGAGGGAGCCTGGTGCAAGGGGCAGATATAAACCAGAGGCCTCAGAGAGAATGCTGAGAAAAGATGCTGCCTTGGACCCTGGTCCTCGAGCATGGCCTGCAGCCCTCCATTGGGACACCCCATCCTGGGGCCACATTCTTCACAAGGCCTACTGCCCACCTGCCTAGATTCTCACAGCCGAGTTCACGTGTGGGGAAAGAAACGGTCTCACCGCGTGCTGGGAAGAAAGGACAGTATGAAGTTTCTAGCACATCATGACTGTGACCACCTTATACCTCCCCTGGCCTTATTTGCTGGTGGATTCTGGGGCCCTGTGAGCCAACTATCCCTCCCCATGACGCTTTCTCTTTCTGTCCAAGGAGAGGGCTGCTGAACAACAGTGAGTTTGCCAAAGCTTGGCCCATGTAACTCTGGTAGCCTGTGACAAGATTCTGGAATTAGGTAGTGAATGAAAGACATACACTTTTCTTTCATCGGTCGTGTACTTATTAAGGTGTCTTGGCAATATGTATATCGAGCATATCAGATGGGTTATTTCATGGATGTGATCAATTTGGACAAGTCCAGATTTGTTGAAGCTTAAAAAAAGTGACTTGAAGTAAAGGAAAATATTAATTAAGTCAAAAATATATATGTTATTTAAACCTCTGTCCAGGTAGGACGCAGCTGTGACCCAGAATCACGAAGGGCAGGGAGTGAGCTGGTTTTCTGAAGAGGTGGGCACACATAAAATGGTCCCAAGTGTTGGTCAGAGATCTGGTGAGCAGTTCATAATGAGGAAGGAATTCAGGCAGGGGTCAGAGAGTGGCTTTAGAAGTGGCTGCCGGCCGGCCCTGTAAGATAATTCTCCGGAGCCAGGCACAGCGGAGAGGAGACGCTGGGGGGGCCTGCAGCTGGCTAAAAATACCGCGACAGCTTCTCCCCGTCACCCTGCCTGGGGGCCGCACAGGAAGGCCATGGCTTTCTGCTTTTCTCACCAGGAAGAAAAAGACAACGACACAAAGCCCCTGAGCCCCAGAAGAAAGAAAACTTAAATATGTTTTTTAGTCAAAGATTTCCACTAGGAGGGGTCGGCTGGTGTATGGCAGTGCCGCAGTGTGGGGGAGACAAGGCCCCAGATCAATCAGGCATCCCGGGACGTGCGTCGGGGGCCCAAGAGGCCGCTGAGATTAGCCTGGCCTTGGGGGGACCCAGGTGGGGGCGGGGAGTGGACTGCCGTCTGTGTCCCCGGCTGTTCACATGTGTCCCATCTCTGTCCCTGCGTACCCAGGATGAGGAGGAGGAGGTGGTGGGTATCAGGCCAGTGCTGTGAGGGGTGTGAGGAAGAGAGCCGCAGTTCCATCACTCAGCTACCAGACCTAGAAAGGTAACAGCAGAGCCGTGCTGCGTGCACGCTACACCACCACCTTCACCTGCCTGGCCAGGGGCGTGGCCGGGCAGCCAGGTAGCCATGGGGCTGGCCGAGCTGAGGGTCATCGGTCTCCACACCCAACCCTTGACCCCGGATGCGGGGCTTCTGTAACTCCTTGCGTGTGTCTGGTACAAAATGCCGCTGGGCTTCAGTGTGTCCGTCTCGAAAATGGGTTTACTCCAGTTCTTGAGGATTCCGTGAATCAGTTGGGCCTGATTGTTATTTGGAGTTCATCTGTCTTAGCAGCCTGGTTCCGTTTGAACTCCATGGGCATGGCTGGGGGTCCTAGCCCTTGTGGATGGAGCACTGAGGCCACAGTCAGCAGGGCCAGACGGGGCTTGAGAAGAGAGGGTTTTCCGAGGCAGAGTTGCCCAGACATGTGAGTCACTGGAAATGCGGCCGTGGTCTCCTTTGTGGCAGTATTTGAAACTTCAGAGCGATTTCCCTGATCGCTCTGGGCAGGAATGATTATCTGCATTTTTACACTGCAAGACCAAGGCACAGGGAAGTGAACGGTCCTGCCAGGGGTCACATAGCAAGCTCTGCTCGCACCATAGAGGCTCAGCTCTATCCTGTCTGCTGTTACCTGTTTCTATACTTAGACTCTCACTACACTGCTCTGGTCCGGCCCACTCACCCCATAGAAGTCTGGCTGTTGAGCCCAAGCAACCACCAGTGTTTATTGTGCGACTGTGGTGGGACCCATCCCTCTATCCATCCGTACACCCGTCATCCATCCTCTCTCGTAGCCATCTTTCCATCCATCCATCCTCCCACCAAACCATCCTTACATCACTCCTCTATCCATCCATCTACTCTCTGTTCATCCACCTATCCTCCCAGCCATCCCTTTAGTCACTAGCTCACACATCCGACACTCACTGACTCTTATACCAAGCCAGGCCTGCACTAAGGGCTAGGTTTGGACGATGTATCAGATCCAGCCTTGCCCTGAGATGCTGCAATTTGCAATGGAGGCAGGCCTAACTCCGTAAGTTCCGTGCTCAAGGCTTGTGTCATGTCTGTGATTACATGGGGAAAGGAGGAGGAGAGGCCATGTGCAGATTCTGCAGGCAGGCATTCAGGGAAGGCTTCCCGGAGGAAGTGGCATCGTTCATTTGTTCATATCCCAAATGTTCATTAAGAAAGTTTCCGTGCAGGGACCTGCTTGATGTTTTGGAGACCCAGCAGGAAATAATACGGTGTTTACCTTCCCATAAGAGGCATGGACAGTAAATACCTAAAATGTGACATGTAATATGTCAGGTGATGCCGATTTCTAAGAGGGGAAGTTAGCTGAGTAAAGGAACAGAGTCTGCCAGGTGGGGTGAAGTGGACATCCTCGGACAAAGGATGGTCACAAAAGGCCTCTGACAAGGCAGCATTTGAGCAGAGACATAAATGGAAAGAGGGAGTGAGACGGGTGCTTGGCACGTTCAAGGAAGGATCAGGGACGCCATGTGGCTTCAGTGAAGTGAGGGGCTGGGAAATCAGAGAGATCCTGGGGGACCCACTCACGGAGGCAGGCAAGAGTGGAGCAGGGAGGTGGCCAGGACCCAGGTAAAGTGGTGGCGCCTGGGTCTTGGGCCAGCAGGGGAAGCGCCGGGGGACCATGGGAGTCTGAATGACTCCAGAGACCTTGCAGACAGGCGTGCGTGTGGATTAGAGGTGCCGGAGGAGAGAAGACAGGGGCAGTCAAGGGAGGCTCTCGGGTTTAGGACAGGAGCCACTGGTAGAACAGAGGTGGTCATTTAATCGGCCAGGAATGATGGTGGGGGAGGGCCAAAGGAAGCTGAGGAGTATGTCTTAGACACATGAACTTGGAGATGCCTTTGAGACACCCAAGTGGAAAGCTTGAGCCAGCAGTTGGGTGTAGGAGTCTGGGAGGCAGAGAGGGCCTGACTGGAGATAGAAATGTGGGAGCTGTTGTGCACCGATGCGGTTGCAAGCCATGAGGCTGATGAGGTCACGTCGGGAGGGAATGGAAAGGGAGCCGATCAGAAGCCTGAGTCTGAGTCATGGGCATCCAGCCCTTGCAGGGCGGGAAGACAGGGTGGGGGCAGCAAAGGAGACAGAGAAGGTGCAGGAGCACTGAGAGAGCAGGCTCTCAACAGACGAGGAGAATTTTGCTGGCAAAGCAGGGAAAGGACACTCCAGGCAGAGGGAACAGCATGGGAAAGGCTCAGAGGCCTCAAAATGAGCCATATTTGGAGAGGGGTGGAAGACAGGGAGGAGAAACCAGAGCAGCTTCTCCTCCATACCCGGCAACATAGGGGCCAGGGCCCGTGGGTGTCTGGGCTGAGCGTGAGCCCATGTCCAGGGACCTCTGTGCCACCTGGGCCGGCGCTCTCTGGTCTCAGTGGAGTCTCTTGCCCTGATGTCTGCACACTTTGCACTTTCTTTTAAGAAGTTTCCACCTGTCCTGACCTCCCACCTCCTCTGTGAGGTTCTTGGGCTCAGGAGACCTCCCCCTTGCCTGGAGCACTTGTCTGAAAACACAGGGCTCAAGGCAGCAGCTCTGAGCTGCCTGCAGGGGGAAGGGCACCCAGCAGCTTCCTATTGAATCTCTAAGCACTGCTGGATCCTTTATCTTAAAAGAAACTGTAGAAACTTCCTGGACTATGAGTGTGTGTCAGAGCTGCCCGCTCACGCTCACCAGTTAGAGCAGAGGAGCTCGCTGCCTTTGGTGGGCAATTGTGTGCGAGTTTGGTGGGGGGCAGGCATCCTCCTTTGTGAGTCTGTGGGGCTTCACACTCAGCCCTCAGCTCTCAGCGGAGAGATGCCCGTGGCTCTGTCAGGGAAGGCTGCGGAGCGGAGCCGCTGCCCAGGGGCAGGGCAGGTGCACATCGGGGCACTTGAGTGGGACATATGAGTGGGACGGGAGGTAGGGTGAGCATGCAGCCGGCTGGGGGGCTCCGGGGGCCACAGCCTCGTAGGACTGGGATGTGGCCAAGGCTCGGGAGACTTCTCCCCGCTGAGAATAGGATGGAGCCAGGCAGGGACTTGGTGGCCCCCCAGTCACTCTAGGAGATACACCTCTGACTCTGCACTGGGGACTGGGGGCCATGGGAAGCCGCTCAGATGATGCACACACAGCTCTGGGGCACGAGGCGGTGGGTAATCTAATTAGTGTGCTGGGCGGGTGGGACAAGTAATCCTGTGCCTTCAGACTCACTTTTCTTTAAGCCTGTCCCCACCCAATCTCTCCCTAAATCCTTCCCCCGCCTGGGTGATGGCAGGTGGGAGTGGACTTATCTCCACTGAACCGATGGGTAAAGCCAGGCCAGAGAGGAGGAAGTTTATGTGATACCACAGCTACTAAGTGGCAGGCAGAGCTCTGAACCGAGTCCATCTGAAGCCCAAGCCCAAGCCCAGACTCTTACCTCTGCCCTCCACCATCTCCCGGCTCTGCTACAATATCCCCACTTGCAGGCACTCTTATGTAAGCCTCCTCGTCAAACTCCTCATCTTGCAGATGAGGAAACAGAGGCCCAGAGAAGGGGAGATACTTGCCCGGGGCCACACAGCAAGTCAAGGGCAGAAGCTATACCAGAATCTGCTCTGGCCCCCTGCGTCCACTCAGCCCCAGCCCCCATTAGCAGGTGCAGGGATGAGGTCCTGGACCCTGCCCACTTCCTCTTGGAGTGCCCACTGCCTTCTGTCCTCCAGCAGCCTTTGGCACTCGCTCTGGTGGAAGGCACCAAGTTCCTCATCAGACGGCTCCATTGTGCCTATTGTTTAAATATAGATTACTAATGAAATGCCTTTTCATTGCCTTCCCAGTGAATAGTTTCCGTGTAAAGTTAATTTGCAGTGTTATGTAAATTCTGTTTAACTTCAATCAAGTTTCTAATTATGTTTTTACCGCAGTAATTCCCATTTGATTTGTCATCTCCTGTTAGGTATTTAACGTTCGGTGGGCGGGTGTGCGTTCCCCCTGCCTCTCCGTTTTCCAGGGCCCTCTCCCTCCCTGACCCCGGATCCCTTTCTGTTTTTCTGCTTCTTGCTCTTGCCTTCTCCATCCCTGCCCCTTGCTTCTGGGTTATTCCGCACATTAGCTCCTTCCCCCTGCTCCTCCCTTCCCTTCTTCCCCTCCGCTCTTTCTGGCTCTGTCAGCCCTCCTCCCCTCCTCCCCTCTGCCTCCTTCCCGCCTGCCCTCCTTCCTGCTGTCAGCTCTCCTGGCCCCCTTCTCTGTTTCTCCAACCACGCCTCTCTTGCTCTTTCTCTGTGTTTCTCCGGTCTCTCTCCACCCTCCCCCACCCCACCAGCTCTCTCTAGCTTCCCTTGTGTCCTTGCTCTCCCCCTCCCACACTGTCTTCCCCCTGGTCCCCGCACTCTGGGGACCCTCACAGAAGCTTTCTGGGACTGTGGGGGTGTGCATCCCTGGGGAACCCGAGCCCGGCCCCCTCAGAAACCTTGTCAAGGGCTTTGTAGAGGACTGGCCCAGCCCCGGGGAACCTCGGGTTCTGGTAAGCACACAGCCGCTTCTAGCCAGCTCTCAGGGGTCAGATTGGCCCACCCCATATGAACCCCGTGACCTTCAGGTTGCTGAGCCCTCGTCTGTCACGTGGGGTGACAGCATCACCTACCTACCGGAGTGGCTGTGCGGATCCAGTGATACAGCATAGGCCGAAGGACTTAGCCAGGCCTGGCCGGAAGTGACTTCTATCTGAGATCTCCCAGCCACGCCCCTCGTCTCTCTGTCGCCTCCCTGAGGTGTCTGGGAGGTGGGTTTCTGTGCTGCCGGCCTGCTGGGGGTCAGGCCTGAGGCCAGGGCAGGGGGCTGGTGGCATTCCCCACCCCCAGCCGGTCTCAGCCCTGCCTGTCAAGAGATGTGACCCCCCTTCTCCCTGGGTGGGCTGTGGGGACAGGCCTGCCATTCTAGGGAAGCGTCCGAGACACAGAGCCCCAAAGCTGGAAGAGCCCTCAAGACCCTGGCCCACAGACCTTCCCCGAACAACAGACCAAAGGCAGAGCTGCTTCTGCCAACTTGGACCAGAGACCCCCCCCCCTTCTCCCACCCTTTCTCCTCCCTGGATGCCCCCAGGGCCGGCCACGGAGTCCTGCTGCAAAAGCCCTGCTCTGGTATAAGGCCTTGACAGGTCTGCCGCTGACTCACTCAGAGACTCCTCCCGGAGCCTCGCTCGGCTCCCCTCCTGCCCCACATCCGAATCCTGGGCTTGGGGATGCTCCCTGGCTGGGCAGCCACAGTTTCCCAGCAGGCAGCTGCCCTCTGGGTGGGGAGGGCGGAAGGAAAACACCCAACAGAGGCCCGAGGGCTGGACGAAGGCTCCTCCCCCTCCTTCCTCCCCCTCCCCCCCACTCTGCTCTCTTCCCATCCAGCATGGCCCTGGCGCGTCCAGGAAGCAGAAAACAAGTGTTTGGAGAAGGCATTCTTCTAGGTGCAGAAAGGCAGGCCCAGTCACTTGTCCTTCAGAGACATGGGAACCTGAGCTGACCCAGTCCCTGCCCTGTTGGGCCACATGACCACCTGACCCACTGTGAGTGTGTGTGTGTGTGTGTGTGTGTGTCCCGTCCGTCTCTGGTCCAGGAAACCTTAGCCAGTCACGTGGCCGCTTTCCCTGTTTGTCTAAGTAAGCAGTTCAGGCCGGCTGCAGCCAGGAGGCTGAGATGTGGAGCCAGGGGAGGGGGCCACACTGGTGTGGGAGCTGGACATAAGGGTCACTGGGGACAGAGAGGGCAGCCCTGGGGTTCTTGGGCCTCTAGCCTTGGTGTGGGGAGGCCTGGCCTAGGGAATGGCCCTGCTTCTGATCGCCTCCCCTCCTTGGACCTCTCCTACCTCCATCTGGGCAGAGGAAGTGTTAGCCTTACTGACTGCAGGAAACCCTCCCAGCCCTGAAATGTCCTCTGACCAGGAAGGGCTCAAAAGGGCAGAGCCCCAGCCTCACAGAGGGGCATGCGCATGTGCACCCTCCATCTGTCGCATCCCCTGGAGCGTGCTGCTGAGTGCTGGCCCCTCGGCAGGAGAGCCAAGTTAGGCCATCCCATATGCATCCAGCAGGCCACTGATGAATTCAACAGATAGGTGTTAAGCACCTACTATGTGCCAGGACCGGGGCTGGGCTGGGCAAGGAGTAGGGTCTTCTGGAACTTCTGGGGAACCCCCACCCCTGTAATATATTTTCTTCCTGTTGGATGGGCAGGATCACCTTTGACTGCAAAGACCCCTTGCTCCCGTCATGAAGCAGCCATGTCCCTTGGCCACTGCCATTCCAGGAGGATGGGACCCTAGCACCCGTGGGGCGTAACCAGCAAGGTACAGAGATAGTGCCTAGTGTCTCACAGACTGAGCAGGTGGGGGGAGGGTCCCCTTCCTCTGCAGTGCTGGGAGCCAGAGCAGATGTAGGCAGAGTGCAGAGGCCCTGAACCCTGGGGACTTCAGGGCCTTCTCTGAAGCACCCTGGGTGGAGAGCCCCAGGGGAAGTGGGCCTCCTCCAGGTTTACCCAGCCGGCTCAGCGTGTCTTAGCTATAGAAGACACAGTCCCGCTGGGACCTGGAGGAGGAGGAAGGCTGTGGGGGCCTGTGGGGGCCTGTGGGGGCCCATGGGGACCGTGCTTCTGAGAGCCCACCTGGGTTCATATGCCTGTTTGCCTCCTTCCTCCCTGCTCCTTCTCTTTCTCCTTTCGATAAACATTTCCTGGCAGCCAAGTCTGTGCCAGGCCTGGGCTCACTACAAGACCATCCCTGGCCCAGAGATGCTCCCTGCCAAGCCGGCATCAGGCAACATCTCAGGGTGGACCAAGGATGCAGGCTAAGCTGAAGCCCAGGAGGAAGGCAGCCATTGGATGCCCGTCAGGGTGCGACTGACCCTGCAGGCTACCCTGGGCTCTGGGCAAGCTTAGGCATACTTTCCCCAGATGGGCTGACGGCTAAACCCACCAGGTGCCCAGCATGAGAGGCCCAGAGGGCTGGCATCCGGGCCACACAGAGCATTGTCAGACCTTGCTTCTGTTGCGATAGGATTTGGGGTATTCAGCCTGGAAGAGTCCCACAGGCTCATGAGCCCAAGGCTGTTTTCTTATAGCTGGGATACTCCAATTCAAGAAAGGGATAGAAGTGGGAGGCCAACGGGTGAGCTGGTGACACGGGCCAACCATCCTGCCACCCACAACTGAATATGGATCCTGGACAGGGGTGGTTATGAAGGTACTAGGCAAGAGTCCCAGAATACCACCTCGGGCAGTGTGTCCCCAGCCTTAGCTTGCATGCCTCCAAGGTCAGGAAACTCACTATTGCCCCGTGGCTGTCTTAGTAACTCTTCCTGGTAACCTGTCCCTTGTTACCCACCAGGCTGGAGTCTGGCTTCTGTCTTCCACCCTGCTCACCTCAGGCCACAGGCCTTAGGCTTTCGGCATCCCCAACAGAATCCTTCCAGGCAGAGCATCAATCTGGGCCCACAACTGGCCCCATCAGGGCCTGTTTGATTGCAATAATTTGGATAAGTCATCAGTGCCGTGCACTGGGCAGCCAGGGTGTGGCCAAAGTGAGCCCCTGCCCTTGGGATCAGACCCATCCCAGCATGGCCCCCAGGGAGGTTCTTAGGCTGCCCGCGGTGCACATGGGAAACCTGGCTCCCAGCTCTGTCCCTTCCCTGGGGTGATCTCAGGCAGGGCCCAGCCCCAGTCAGACCCAAACCACCTCCCCTCTGTGCTCCTCCCCAACACTGAGCTATGAGAGGCCTTTGTCCCTGGTGGGTCTGCGGTAGGCTGGAGGAGTCTTCTGGACATTCTGGCCTGTTTGCCCAGCAGTCTTGAGAGAGACCTGGGGTGCTGGGGCTTCCCAAAGCCTGTGCCCTAGGAAACCAGGAGGAGCAGGGTTGGGGGACTGAGGGCCTTTGTTCAAGCCTTTTCCCCCTCCCTGGGCCAGGCCACTAACCTCGACGCTCCCACCACATCCCCGCTTACAGACAGGTGAGTTTCTGGCTCCTGAGACACAGGGAATAGGTTGGGTTCACCCAGAGGCCATGGGTGGCCCCACAGCCCTGTGCCAAACCTCTAGCCCCCCTCCTCCCCCCAACCCTTGACACGTGTCAGGATGCAGGCGTGCAAGGCCAGGAGTGGGATGAAGGGCTTGCACCCTGGGTCTGTGCCAGGGTCGGACAAGGTGCTGTTCCGGGGTGGGGGCTGCACTGCCCAGCGGGGGTGCTGCACCTTCTGCAGAAGGGGCTCTGCTCCCCCCCTCATCTTTCAGCACCAGGAAGTTCTGCCTCTGAGGCCTGGCAGCTGTCCCCTCTTCAGCTTCTCCCCTTGTCCTCATCCCTCCCTCATGGCTCCTCAAAAGTGACACTACCCCTCTGCCCCGAGTGGGGGAAGGCGGTGATTCGAGGCCCCCCGGGAGGGCCTGATTCCTGCGGCCCCGCTCGGCTGCGCCTGGAGTTGTGCACTGCTGGGTAGAAAGCCCACTACTGCTTTTGTGGAGTCCTTTTGCTAGAAAACAAGTAGCTGGAGGTCTAGAGGTCAGAGGCCAGAGGCCACCGAGCAGGCCAGGGCAGTCTGCCCGCTCTCACCCCAGAAAACCTGAGCGCTTGTGAGGAGCCCACCCCCACCCCACCCCACCCCCCGGCCCCAGGGCCCTGCCTCTCTCCCGGGCCGGGTGCGGCCAGTGGGACAGGAAGCCGGGGAAGGCCTGGAGGATGGGACTCAGGGTGGTCTGGGCCTGAGCCAGGGATGAGGCAAAGCCCAACCCTGGCCTGGCCCCAGGGCCACAGGCACACAGGTCACCCACCCGACAGGAAACCCTGCCCGGCACCCCCTTTGTCCCACCCCATGTTTCCCGCGGGTGGCGCTTCTATTTCCCGTGGGAGCTGCTGCCAGGAATCATACCCTCTTGAGAAAGGAAGCCGGACCTCAGGCTCTCAGGCTGCCCTGCCTCTGACCTGCACTGATCCCCTCCTAGGTCCTCCCACGGGTGGAAGCTTCGGGCCCACGCCCATGCCTCACCCACACATGCTGATGACTTATCTTCTCCCAGACAGTTGGTCACCTTTAGGGACTGGCAAGAGAAACCTCATAGTAGGGTTAGGCCTGGGAGCCCAGAGACCAGGCTTCGTGGTCTAGGATCCACCACGAGCTTGCTGGTGCACTTGGGCAAGCCACTCCACCACTCTGGGCCTCAGCTGTAGAAAGAAAAGGGAGAAGCAGCAGCTCTGCGCAGCTGAGAGCATCCCATGAGATAAAGGATTTGGGGGTAGGATAAATTTGTACCCTATAAGGACAACCAGGTTTGGGATTAACTGCCCCGGAGCCTCCATCATGCGTCCCAGACATTGGTCTCCAGCCCAGCCAAGGTGCCCTGTCTGTGCTGAGCCCCAGGCAGGGGGAGACGCATGGGTGGCTGCTCGTGGCCCTCTGGCTGATGGGGGTGCTGATGCTGGCATGGCCCCTCTCTGCGTCATCCCAGGCCTAGGGCAACAGCACAGGGGCAAAGCTGGGTATCTGCACCCAGGAAGGAGCCTGCCTTTCTCCCTTCTCCCAGGAGCTGAGTGATGGCACATGCTGGGGTCTCTGCAGAACCCTACAGTGATCAGGCAGGAGGGCTAGGTTAGTGGGCCTGGGGGTCAGAAGCCAGGACGGGGGCAGTGCCGAGGGGCAGGTTGTGCTGCCAATCTCCTGTCCTCCTCCTCCCTCCTGGCAGGTGCTCAGAGGCCTTTGGTTTTCCTTCAGTTGTGATGGTGAGCCTAAGGCGCTCGGGGAGACCCGAGGTAATGGTACTGTGAGCTCTGAGGGCTTCTGTGGTCCTCTGTGGAGGCGCTGCTTTAATGGCCTGTCGACAGACATGCATATCCCCCGTCGCTATGAGTTCACTGCTCCCCTTACCCCCATTTCCTGGGGAGAAGACTGAGGCACAGAGAGGTGAACCAACCTGCTGGGCTTTGAACTGGGCAGCCGGTCCCAGAGTCAGTACCCTTGGCCACTGCACTGCCCTGTTTCTCGGGCCCACGGCCCCCTCCCCAAGCCAGG